AGAATAAGCCATTTTTATTTACAGAGGGAGTGAGTCCACCATGTTGAACCGCCATGTTTCTACAGTAGCCTGGAACGGACAATACAAACACTGGCTGTAGATAGGACCTCTAACGTGTTTCGTGGCCACCGTAGTTTTTCCTACACACTTGGAAGAGGAGGGTGAGGCATTGGGCTTGTAATCTGTAATTACACCACTAGATGCCACTAAATCATACACAGTGGACTGTTAAAAAATATATATATATTTTGTATTGTGTTTTATTTATTTGATTATATCCATAATAAAGAGGATGCAATATGCTGACTGTATCATTAGAAAAGCCAATCAGAACAGTCAGAATAAATCAAAACAGTAGTTCTCTATTCATTTCTATTTCCCTTCTGGTGATATCCATCCAACCAAAGCTAAAATCTTGATATTTTGACATGTAGTAATAAAAGTAATACAACAACAAACACAGTTTAAACACAAATTATGTACTTTAACAATATGATTAATAGATTAAAATGTGCCCTACTGCTGTCCACTTAAGATGATGTGGAACACTGTGATTGGCTTATAGACATCCAGTCAAATAACTGCGTGCAGTTGGGCGGAGTCAGATGACAGTCATCATAGATCTTCCTAGAAAGATTTGACCTATGGTTAGGTCAGAGTCAACAGTGAGCTAACTGTGAAACTACAGTATCGTTGCTATGGTTACCCAAGACCATGTGTTCATAGTGGAAAAGTGAAAAACGTACTCAAAGATTACAGCAAACACAAAGGAGCTAATAACAGCTGCAAAAACAAATTGTGGACGATGGTAAAAAAAATAAGTAGTACACTTTGTTGCTTTCTCTCTGTTACATTACCTGTAAAATACAGGAAAGTGAGCTGATCTCTTGTGTACTGAAAATACGTTCTCATTCCAGGCTGTCAAATACAGACACAACCCTCAGGTAGCATTTAGCATCTGTATGAGATGCCTTTTATTAACATTGGGATAACGTTGTGAAATGGTCGCCGTTTGGTTAGATTCAGGCAACAAAACTACTTGTTTAGAAAAACACGTCATGATTTGGTTTAAATATTGCAGCAAAAGTCACATGACTCAAGTGACATACGTAACATTATTTGGTTTCACACAGGTCATGAACCCCTGTGTTTGTGTGTGTTTGACCAGCCCCACCACCTCCTTAGGATATGGCCACATATATACAAATGCAGGCGAGTGACCATGGCAGTTTTTGGGGTCAGCCACACAAACATATTTACTGTCTGAGGCTGTAATTTCGCTGGTCACAAGTGTTGAACTCCATACCGATCAGAAAATCTGCTTTGCCACTGGAAGTGAAGGTTTTATTTGCTGCTTCGATCACATAGAATGGAAGCGAATGGAAGGGGAATATTCGTCAAATGTTGATTTTGCGTATGTGAAACTGTGCCCTTACAGACTTTCTCGCACTGTCACCTGACGCAAATGCGTTACACTGGAGCTAGCGGCTCACTACGTCGCTAAAGGGTACCTTGTGCGTCTGTATGTAAATGCAAAGGGCCCTGACAGAATGTCTGTATTTGGTGCCATGTGTATGATCACAGGCTGGTACTGACTGCAAAAACAGTACACTATGATCATCACAATAAAATACACATTGCATATTATTAGCATGTATAAGACAGGGATACAGCTAGATTAACCCTTGTCTTCTTCCATCTGAATAAGAATCTTACTTCCTACTACTTTTATGTACATTATACATTAAATCTGTATCCGTCTTATTCTCATGTAATCTGTGTCTCTCTCACGAGCCCATAAGCACCTTGCAATGCATCCTAGTTTATAAAGCAGGCTCTAGTCATATAGCCTGTAACAGTTTCCACATGTTTGTTCCTACAGGCAGCGTACTTTGTGTTCAGAACAGGACTGAACAAATCTTCAGCAGTAGATCCTCAAGCTGAACTGAGTGTACTGAATCACTAACTAAAGCAGTGGCTTTTTGCACTAGAGCTCCCCTCACTGGTGGAGGGGCGCACTGACATTCAGAAGACAGTTTAGCCTTGATAATCTGTTGGTTTCTTAAGAGCTTAATGAAAGATAACAAAAACTACTGTCTGTTGCTGAGTTTTTTAGCCTTGCAAAGAGGGCTTATACAGGCTGAATGAACTCTTGAATGAAACATAATTAGAATCCAAGGCTGAGCTGAAGCAGCCCCTTCAGCCCCCAGTATGTTTTAACACAGTGCCCGTTGGATCACCAAACAGCATCTGAAACCCCTTTTCCGATGGTGGATTCAGGATAGACTGTATGCGACAATTTTTGCAACTTTCTGAAAAAGACAATCTCATATTTGTGTGACTAGTCTCATCGAGACTTCTAGAAATTTCTGACTTTTTCTGCCCCCCACTGGCAGAACCAGAAAAGACACTGTGGCAACCTGATTCTGCACACAAAGCTGCACAAACGACATCATCAGCTAGACAGAATAATTACAATCCTAGCTTCTTCTGGAGCCTTCAGCCACATCTCATGGTCTTCATCATCAGATGGAAGCATTATGACCGTATTCAGTACAGTGTTTCATTATTTACACGTCTATTATATAGTGCATAAAGTATAGTATAATAGTTGTGAACATAGTGATACTCCCTTGCTTAAAATGACATATACTCACTTGCATTGATCTATTTATTCTGTTTTATTGTGAAAAAACTGTATCTATACTTGGCAACCCTGACATCCAGTTGACCACGTGTGTCTGGATACAGGATGGATGTAGGATGATCTGATGCACACCAGAATTGTAGCCTGATCTGCAGGCCTGGATATAGCTACCATGTGTAAAGTCTCATTTTCAGATGGTATTATATTTTCTTTCACAGTGGAGGCTATACTCTTGGGATAAATTGACACTACTTTAACCTAATAACATATGAATAATCAGTCGGAACTATTGGGTGAATGCACATGTTCAGAAATCAAGATGGCAGTAATGTGGTCAGATATCAGAAGATTACAGTCTCACAGTGCAAACACTAAGCATATGAGGCAGAGCAAGACTGATCGTAAACTGCTCTGAAGATTTCTTAAACCAAGGCAGGATCATTGAGATAAACTGCGCTACTCTACTCTATACTGCACTGCCCTCCTGTGGTTCATTCACTACACTGCAGCTCTCCTGCAAGAATCTCCATCATACGACTGCACCTCTTGATTATGATGATGCCTGCAGTAGTGTGTATAAAATCTTTGGAGTTTAATATTGATATTAGTTACACACATTCACTCCTGACAGTACCTGTGGTGGATGAAGCCTCTGAAAGCCACACTAGAGTAGAAGTACAGATATATTACCAAAAATTGGTTTTGGTGGAAGTTACAGTCACCTATTAGAATATTACTTGAGTGAAAGTCTTAAAGTATCTGTTATTTACTGTTCTTATACTGTATATACTGTTAGTATATAAAAACATTTCTGATATTAAATGTAAAAAAGTACTAGCAAATGCTGCTACAGTTATTCTTTAAGCATGCACACCACCTAAAAATGGAGTCTGTATTACACCTGAAGAAAAATTAATGTCTTCACAACTTAAGATTATAAAACAATAACAATCAAAAATGTCAATGGAAGTCCATGGTATTAGATTTAGTTGAGACTTCACACTACCTCAACAACACTAACAGTCTGCTTCCATCATGAGCTCTGTCTCATCATCTAGTGGAAGCGTCCTCATGTAGTTGCTAGTATCTCACATGGCTGGGTGTGAGTGGAAATTCAAACTTAAGCACTTTCTCAATAACGTGATTAATGATGAAGATCTAACTTGCTCACAATGCTAGGACCACACTGATTCGCCAAACCTGCTAGTTTGCAGTCTGTGTTAGACCGCAACATGTCCTCCTTTTTTATTGCGCTGTAACAAACGTGAAATGTATCCCGTAATGTGGTAATAGTATACATTTCATTCAGGACATGTAGTGGAGTAAAAGTGCTAGTTGACAGAAACATAAAAACTCAAATAAAGTATAGATACTTCCAAAATATACTGTAACAAAATATGATTACTTTGTTACATTATACCTAGTAATGTAATGCTAGTGAGGCCCTTTTCACAGAACACATTTTCACTTATCAGAGCAGGGACATTAAAGGCAGACTGAGTAGAATTTTCCTTAAAAAACAATGTATAGACTCATACAAAAAAATCCTCTCAGGCATCACTTATGACCCACTAGAAGTGTATGGAGGGGGATCTGTCAAGACCCTGCAGCCCCCTGCCTGTATTATGCTGTATTTTTGCTGTGTTGTATGTTAAGGTCCATAGGTCAGTAGGTCATAATGTATAATCACCTGAATATAAGAGTTGTAGTGTTTTTGTTACCTTAGAATAGGCTGTTTTTATCTACAGAGAGAGCGGGTCCTCTTCCATGGAGGCTGCCATGTTTCTACAGTAGCCCAGAAAAGACAAACCAAACACTGGCTCTAGAAAGCACCTTAAACTGTATTTTCTTCTACAAACTTGGAAGGGGAGTGGTATTGAGTGAGTATCACTGCTGGTGCTTGAAGAGATATTTACAGAAATGATCAAACTGTATAAATAAAACATCCATATAACTGAATTTGTCACAGGGGGGATTTAGTATTTCTTAAATCCTTGCTATTGCCCTGTGCATGTGTTTTAATTGTGATCTTAAATCACCACAAGTGAAGTGACACTCCCTCCCCCAAACTATAAATAAATCCCTTGTATATGAGTATATAAAGCTACAGCTGTTAAATACAACATACACATTAATGCAGCAATATGTATGGAATAGTAAAACACTGACAGGGAACATTTTACTGCACTGTGAAACCTTTGATACTCTAAGTATTATGATTACTATTATTATGTTCATTCAAATGTAGGCTACTATATATTACTACCGGTACTTATCCATTCTTATCTGTATGTGAGTGAGTGAGCAGACATGAGTGAAGCCAGTCAGTAGGGGCGCTGTTGTCTCTTGTCCTCACGGGAACCAAATAAGGAAATGACGTGGTGCATGTGCAGATGGACTCAAATAGAAAATAGAAACAGTGACACCGGGACCGGGTGTGTGAGAGGTAGAGGAGGGACCTGGCGCTGACTTCAGACGAGGTTAGTGTTCTTTTACAGACTCGCTTTTATGAAGTTTACATACACCAGAGTTGGTCTTATAGCCCGGAAACAGGCCGACGGCGGCTAACTAGCCGGTTGGCTAAAACTACACCTAACTCAGCACGTGCAGGGCCTTATAGCGTCACTTACAGTGTAATGATAATGAACTGTGAGCTAATTCATTCAGAAACCACTCTGGTGGGAAACTACAGTCGTGTTGAACATAAAAAGGATAGCTGTTATTGACTGTTAGCTTTCATAAGTTAGTTAAATGTGGCATATTTGAAAAGTTCCGCCCTATTTACAGCTGTTCACTTTAACTTCCCACGTGCAAGTGGTTATGACGTCGACTTCCAGTTGTGTGAGCTTTATTAGCAGCTATAGCTAACTTATTACTGCCATCAGCACGTTATTAAAGTGTGTCACTGAGCAGAGCACACACAATGGCTCCTGTGGTCATAGAGTTGTCATGGTAACATTCTGTGGTGTAACATGCATTTGTGTTATTTCACAGTAATTACACATTGAAGAGTCCCTATAGGTAGTGCTGTGTGTTATATAGAGCGCTTCATGTTGATCAATGGCAGTCAGTATGAGAGCTTTCAAATGCTCTTCTTACTACAGCTGGTGTCCACAGTGCACCCTCCACTCTCAGACACTTTCTTTCTGCTTTGGCTCCAGAGTTGCAATAATCAACCCATTAGAAGTCAAAAAAGAAATGACTCGCCAACTATTTTGATAATCGATTCATCTATTTAAGTCATTTTGTAAAGAAACAAAGTCCAAATTCTCTGCTTTCAGCTTCTCCAATGTGAATATGTTCTGCTTTCTTCTGTCCTCTATGACAGTAAACTGAACGTCTTTGGGTTGTGGACAAAACAAGACATTTGAGGACTTCCGCTTGAGCTTTGGGAAACACTGATCACATCATTTTTCACCATTTATGGATCCACAACTAATTGATTAATCCAGATAATGATGGACAGATGCAGCCCTATTGTGCTGATGTTGGTCAGGCCCTCGAGGGAAATGTACGTCCTCTGCCCTGATCACGAGATGGGTGCTGACAGCTGAACTACTGCCAAGTGTAGCCAGATTTGGCTCCTCTGTGTGTGTGTGTGTGTGTGTGTGTGTGTTAGTCAATGACCATTGGACAGATGCACCTGTCCCGTGTGCTGATGTTGTGCATGTATTCCTGTTTCTGGAGCGCACACCTCAGTGTCAGTAACTGTGTGTATATATATATATATATATACATATATATATACTTTTTTCAATTTAGATAAGAGATGTATAATTGTGTATATAGTCCAGATAGAGGTACTGTAAAATATGACCTGAGAACTTTCACCAAGTGCCTAGGATTTTTTGTTAT